AGGCATGGACTCACCATGGTTAGGAAGGGATACTCACAGTTTAGCATGGAGACAGGAGGCTGCCTGCACAGATCCCCTAAAAATCTATGGAACTCTCCCTCCTCCCCCAATTTGAGGACATATATCCAGACAAAGGATCATGTCTAACTCATATTCCTTAAACTATGAAGTCCAGGCTAGATTTTTAAAGGTATGCCCAAAGATACAGATGGGGGCCTAGTGGGATTTTTAAAAGCACCCAAAAGTCTAGCTCTCATTGAACGGCTAGTGTGAAAATCCCTGTTAGCACCTATCACATCTTCACTCACTGAAATATCTTTACAATTCTGGCTCTCTGTGCTCTGCACTCTATTAAATTTCCCCTAGCTTTTCTCTTCTTGTGTGTTGTCATAAGAGTGGATGGTTTGGGCCCAAGTACTGTAGGCTTCTGTGTCGCTAAATTGAAATGTGGAAGAGGAGAGGAAGCATTGTCCAGGACTTGGCCTCTGAAAAGTTGTGTTCCAGTACTAGCTATGACACAGACTTCTTCTCTGGGCCTCAGCTTCCCCCTTTGTGGAACAAGGAATACTTAATCGTGGTATTGGAAGGCTTAATTCATTAATGTTTCTAAGGTGCTTTGAGATCCTCACATGGTAAGCCCTATAAAAGTGCAAAATATTATTATTACTTTTTTACAAATTACTCATTCACACAATTTAAAGTTCTTATGGTAGATGCAAATTTGGAGGATGTAAAATGGTTTGGAATCAAATTATCACTAGTAATGCAAATTTTTACCCCAAACTTCAGCCAAACTAAGCCTTTTTTAAAATTTAGACCTGTATGGTTTGGGAAAACATATTTCCCTATGCTGAATATGGGATACCTAGTAAAATTACTCATATTCAAGCAAGTTCAATGGCAATCAATCAGAATTGTGCAGTACAAATGTTCAAATTAATATCAAGTTGACCCGAGTCCCTGTTAAAAAAAAATACTGCATAATTCTTCTTATCCTTAAGACTTTAGAGTTCACATGGGGAGAGGTGACATACACACATTCTTGTATATATCTCTCTCACATGGGGAGAAGTGACTGACTGACCTGCCTAGTGCTCTTTGCCTTTCATGCCTAGCTGGGCCAACGGTATGGACCCACCTCTCCTGATACATGGCATTGTGTCTTTCAGGGGCAAACATGTGTGGACACACAGTTACAAGGGCCCCCTTCCCTAGATTTCTGCCAGGATTCACACCAGAATCTGGCCAGCAGCAATCTTTCAGCAACAGGCGGGGGGGAAGTGATGGGAATTTCTTTTAGTCACAGGGACTGGGGGGGAAGGCGGGGGAGGGGGGGAGGAGGCAGGAAGGAATGACCTCACCTTGCCCTGGTCTTTGTGGAGCTCATCTCTTTCCCCACCTCTTCATCCCTACTCCCTGTGACTGGAAGCAGCTTGTCCCTTTTTGCGCATAGTGTCAAAAGGCAGCTAACATCTCCAGGCTGCTGCCGACTACAGGTTGTACCTCCCTGACCTGGGACTCTCTGGTCCGGCAACATCTGTGGTCTGGCAGGAACAAGGAGGGCTGGTGGTAGAACTGGTAGCACTGGCAATTCGACTGGAAGCTCTGGGGAAGGAGGGGCAGGGGGTGCGGTGGGGAGCTCTGGGCCCAACAGATGTGAAGCTCCACCCCAGCGGCAGATAGGGAGCTCTGGACCCAAGGAGTCATGGCTAGGCC